GTGCCGAGTTCTACACCCGCAGGGTAGGGGGTGACTATCTTGGGTTGAAGGGGGTCCCTGTGAATTCACGTCCACCTGGAGCCTGTGAAGATGGGCTTATTTGGAAGTAGATCCTCTGTTGAAGTGCCTGGGGTCAGATGAGGTCCACTGGGTTAGAGTAGACCCAATCAGGGACTTGTGTTCTCATACAGAGGGAGATCTGGACACACAAAGCCAACATGGAGATGACCACCGTGCTAAGGGAGACACGGGTGCAGTGTCACATGAAGATGGAGGCATAGACTGAGTGGGGCAGCGGGGCTGAGGCATTGCCAGCAGTCACCAACTCCAGGCAGAATGCAGGGCAGGGTTCTCTACTTAACAGCCTTGGAGACTACAGCCTTGACACACCTTGAGTTCAGACTTCCGGCCAGCAGATCTTCAGTTGTTTACAACTCTGACACTAACACAGGGACCAGAAGCCAGGCTCGGGCTGTCCTCCACTGCATGTGCTGGCAGGGGGCAGAGGGGAGGATCTGGGGTGCAGAGCAGGTGCCAAGGGTGTCGGGCTGTTACTGGTGTCTGATGTTTGGGCAGGAGGCCCAAGAGATGGAACTGAAGCTTGGGGCTCAGCATGGCTCCTGGGTCAGCTTTAATGGCCCGTTTTCTACTTTGGTTGTGTCCTCCTCCTCTTTGGAGCGGGCTGTGTAGCCTGTAGGTCCACATGAATGCTGCCTGCCTGTGCAGGCCGGTCTCCCATGCACCCCGAGCACTGGAGCTCTCCCTTCCGCTCGCTTTGCTTACCTGACATGGTTTGTACCCTTGTATTGTTCCCACGGCTTGTGACACTTTCCCAGTGAGTGGAATAAGACACTTACTTTTTTTTTTTTTGGTCTGAGACTGATTCTGATGCTTTTCCTCTCTGGCTGATGCTCTACCACCTAAGCCATGCCTCCAGCACCCTAGAACACTTCTTAACCCGGAGGGCTGATTTGCCTTCAGCATTCCCGGGCCTCCCGCCACACGATTCCCCCACGTGAGGCAGGCTGTAGTACCCGCATACAATGGGTGCCCACCAAATATTGTGTTTGGAGATGAGGGAAGGGAGGACACAGCCAGCCGGGCTGAAGGGAGCTAACCTAGCTTCTAACACGTGATTGTGATGCTGGGCTATTTGCTGAGTTGGCAGAGCAGCATCAGGCCTCAAAGCTGTCAATAGAGAGCCTGTTACTGAGCCACATGCTGACCCTTATAATCCTCCAGCCGAAGTCTGTGGCTTTATTCTGAGCACGACCCCAGACATGCAATCTCTTGGCTCTGCTCTGACCAGTAGCCAGAGCCATCGAAAACAACAGCTGGAGGTCGGCAGGCAGGAGAGGGATGGAAGTTTCCATAACACATTGGATTCACAGCACAACGCCCCAGATAGAAACAGCAATCAGTGCCTGGGCTGGAGGCTCAGCTGAGCTGTATTCGATAGACTGCTTGTGTGGTCACTGCCATGTCTGCTTAGTAGCTAGTTAGTCCCGGGCACAAGGCCCCTTTGGGAGAAACTGGAGTGATTAGCTTCCTGAAACCCCTTCAGGTACAGATAGGCGTTCATGCCCACATGAGCCTGAAGGGTGAGTATCTCCACTCAGCACTGAGAGGCATCCCGTTTGCTAGGATTGAGCCACAGAAAGTGCTGTGGGTCACATGATTGCCAGCAGCCGTCCACTGCTACTCCTGCAGCAGCCCAAGTTTTAAGGCCTTGGGATAGGCTGGAACAAACAGGGTCTTGTCCAATCCAAAGCCAGAACTGAAGGCCTGGCCACTCAAAGGGGCTCTCACTGCAGGCTTTCCTGCTTTGGGCAGCCATCAATCTACATGAAGACGTCAGTAAGTGGCTGCCACCAGCCAGCAGGCATGTTGGTGGCTTTGTGGCCCTCTTTCTTGGATACGCTTAGCTGGGCAGTCAGTGAACAAGAGGACCCCACAGGATTTTCCATGTCAGCCTAACATGGTTTGTTGATACAACACCCGTGTGGCAACTGAGCTGAAGGTCCCCGGCCCCCAACAGTGGCCTGACTTCATGGTCTTAGCTTGCATCTAATCTAAAGGCTCAAGAATGTCCACTGAGTGCTTGGGGGTGAGCTGAGGTCACCCAGTCTGGAGGCCAGCGCTCCATGTGTGGGTGCTCTCTGGTGAAATCCAGTGGCCAGAACCAGCCCCAGGACTGGGACTTTCCAGAACTGGCCGAGTTGACAGCTTCCTGAGAGCAACAATGCCTGGAGGAAGGGAGTAGGAGCCCAGCCATAGGCAGCACTTCCTGTCCATGGCTTACAACAGACTTCAAAACAAACAAGCGTTGCTATCTGAGTTTGACCTCGCAGTTCCCCTTCCACGGCAAACGTTCAGCTGCATTGCTTCTGCGCCAAGCAGTCCTCAGAGCAGCCCAGTGATCTGCCCATGGGAACTCCAACCTAGGCTCCAATTCAACCCTGCTGCAAGGTCTAAACTCAAGCCACAGGGGGTAGGCCAGGCATTAATGTTGGCCCAAACTATTGTGTCAGTAGCCTTCCTAATGGCTCCCTGCTTTTTGTTCTACAAAGCTGTCAGCTACAGACTCTCTGAGGACCAGGGGTAAAGGAGCACTGGAGTCTGAGCTCTGGCAGCAGGGCAGAAGCCAGGTCAAGTCTACCTACATACACTGGGCAGGGCTGTCTGACACATGATAGTCTCAGGCTATCCCAGTCCCAAAGGTGGGGCTGGGGAGGTCGAGAGGGGTAGAAGACCTCACTGAACAGTTACTGGCTATAAGCTCCACAATGGGTCTGGGCCTCTGCCTGTTTATCCTATTAGGAAAAGAACCAATGGAATTCTATGCCTCCATCAGAAAGAATGGCATTGCCCCATTTGTTAGGAAATGGAAAGACTTGGAAAAAATTATATTAAGTGAAGTAAGCCACGCCCAAAGAAACATAGGTCCTATGGTTTCCCTTATTTGCAATAACTAGTATATGTCTGAGACAAGCAGAAACGGTCAGATAAGTTGATGTTAGGCGAAATAAACCCTAAGATAAGGACTCAAGTGGTTTTTCTTTCTTACTATTGTTTCTAATGTATTTATAAGGTTTTTTTTGGTTGCTTTGTATGTCCTTCCCCCACAGTATAACCCCTGTTTTCACTGTATTTGATGTTGGTATAATTTGTGGAGGGGAAGGGGAAAAACAAATTGTTTAAATAGGGATACAGGTGGACCCATTGCAACAATGAGATGTACAATACGTTACGTTGAAAAACGAACTTTACAACTTTGGCCCCAGGGTGGGGGGAGATAATAAAGAATAAAGATTAGAAAGAAAAAAAGAAGAAACAGAATCTTCCCTTCTCCCATTTCTACCTAAGAGACAGCCTGGAAGGTCAGGGCAGCTCCCTGGGCCAAGTACTCTGTTATGAAGAAGCGTGTACATGTACATGCAAGTATATACCTGCACACTTAGCAACACACACACACACACACACACACACACACACACACACACACACACACACACACACACCCTGCAATCTTCCATCAGGCACAGAGAAGAACGACAGTAACCCATTCTGAATGAGTCACAGAGTTTATTAGGTAACATCGGTGGACTGTGGATCACAAATCTGTGGTGAGGTCGCCCCAGGGCATTGGGGTCCAGAGAACTCCAGGCCATTGAGGAGGCTGCCTTACAGAGGCCAACCCCACTCCAGACAGTGACAAGCCAGGTTCCCTTAGAGACCCAGGCAGGAGACTGACACCATTGTTACCCTGCCAGCCCTACGCTGTTCCTGTGTGAGGTAGGGATGGAGGAGGAAGGCAGGTAACTGGCAGCCAGGGAACGGAGAATGGGGGGTGGAGAGCTGGGGCAGGGGCTGATCTGGGCGGCCTCTCTGAGGAGGGCCTGGTCACATGGCCTCACCCCTCCTACCCTGGGCTCCTTTCTCCGCAGTCAGTAGGTGGTATGGGCCCAGGGCTGAGGTAGAAGGCCCGCTGACAAAGCTAAGGCAGGGCAGAAGCTGCCCTTGAGTCAGCGCGGGACCCTGTAGAGGGGACCCTGCCAGCCAGGCAAAGCAGAGATTTCAGCTCTGCCCAGCAGCACTCTGGTCCCCTCCCTTTGGCACAGGTGGGGAGTAAGCTTAGGATGAGGCAGCTGGAGGGGACATGGAGACACAGGACAGACCCTGTGGGCCCTGCGCTAAGGCAGGAACTGGTGACACCAGACAGTGACAGCAGAAAGGAAGGGGCCTGCCACCTGGAGGCACTTGGACCCAGCTGCAGTGGGTGGGGACCTAGTCCTGACCCTCCAGAAGCCTGTCAGGCAAGACAAAGCCAAGGAACAAGAAAGCTGTTTTGTTAAAAACAAAAAATGAACACACAATTGTTTCATTAAAAATTAGCTCTGGACGCAAAGACTCTATCAAAGAAAGGCCATGGAGCACTTTTCTGCTCAGTGACTCATCCTCTGTTCACTGAATGTCCTGCGTGCCGCCCCGGGCGCTGGGGAGCTGCCCTGGTGCGCAGCTCCGTCTCCCCGGGCTGGTGGCTCCATGGCTGGAAGGCTGCGGATGAATGCAAACCCTGAGGACAGGACAGAAGCTTGGGAGCGCGGCTTCCTATGGGAAAGCAGTGCCAGGCTGGACACTCCCGAGTCCCAGCTCTGAAGATGCCACAACCCACTCTGCTCAGAGCTGCCATAACAGACATGGTCTCTGGACCCAGAGGCCCAAGCCTCCACACTCCAACGAGGCAGGGAAATCAGAGGAGGGCAGCCTGGACTGGGGGGTGGGGCGTTGGGGGTCTTCTGCTCCAGGGCTTGGCAGCCATATAGCCCTGCCCAAGTGGGCCAGGCTTCCTATGCTGGGCAGCAGGGCCTTTTGGCACAGGAGGCACAATGGGACTCCTCCCAGAGGTGCCTTCAAATCTCACTCCATCCCTGCTGAGCAAGGCATCTCTGCGTTTACTCTCCCGTCTCTTCCAGCTGGACGGGGATCACGTGGGCTCTATTCTGTGGGATTCCACATGAAGCTGACAGCTCAGGAGAAAGGGGAATGAGTGATGCAGTCCTGGGGCGTGGAGGTCCTGGCCCACTCCACACAGGCATGCATCCACAGGAGGGTGTGCAGTGGTCAGAAGAGGCTGGGAGAGGCCTGGGCGGAGGCGTCATGGTCCCGGATGTACTGCAAGATGTCCATTTCATCCATGGCTTGGATCTGCTGACACTGCTTCTGTGGTCCAGCCTCGGCTTTGGCTGGGCCCACTGCTGGAGGCACAGCTGGCTTCCTGGGTAGTGCTGGCTTAGCTGCCACCGGGGGCTTGGGCTTGGGCTGCAGCTTGGGCTTGGTTTCAGCCCCCAGGTTCAGAATCTGGTCCAAGTCCTCTTCCACCCTAGGGAACCAGAGGGAGCAGCCCTGAGTATAGCCACCCCCTCCAAAAGGAGGAAGACCCTCCCCCACCCTGCAGCACCACTTCCCACGTGGGCACCTGGCTCTGGGCAACTCCCCAGAGCCAGCCTGTGCTGTGCCATCCAGACAGACATCCTCTACCCCACAGCAGTGGGTAGAGCCAGTTCCTGTGGCATCTCAGCAGACTCTTTGGGCGACTCCTCCCCAAACGCAGCTTCCTCACAGGACTTTCCCTCCTGTCCCTTTATTTTTATTTTTGCCAGTCCCAGGGCTTGAACTCAGGGCCTAGCACTGTCTCTGAGCTTCTTTTGCTCAAGGCTAGTGCTCTACCACTTGAGCCACAGTACCACTTCCACCTTTTTCTGTGTATGTGGTACTGAGGAATCGAACCCAAGGCTTTATGCATGCTAGGCAAGCACTCTACCACTAAGCCACATTCCCAGCCCTCCAGTCCCTTTAGAATGACTGCTCACTACCTCGTGCTAGGATTCTCTACCTTATTCCGTCTTCAAGACTTCTGGGCACCTCTGGAGAGGTGCATTCAGGGCTGCCTTGCAGGCAGGACCCTGGAGCTGAGATGGTCTGTGGCCTTATGGAGGAGGGCAGTAAGTGGCAGTGCCTGGGTCACAAGTAGGATGTCTCCTCTTGTTGAGCACACAGCCCAACCAGGCTCAATGCTGGGTTCTGAGCCACTATGCTACAGGGTCTATTGACCCCTGGGCTCCTCCATGGGCCACAGATGCTGTGATGAACTCAGCAAGGGCTAGAGTGGCCTCAGTCAAGAGCAGCTGAGACTCAGACCTCCAACCGCCTGCTGGTGACTAGGATGGTTGTGTGTTTTGTTTATCCCGTGGCTGGCCTCAGACCAAGATCCTCCTACCTCTGGCTTCTGATGTTGCTGGGATCACAGGTGCATACCACCATGCCAGGTTTATTGACTGAGATGAAGGCTGGCTAACTTCTTAGCTGCCTTGCCTCAAACTATGATCCTCTTGGCCTCCGCCTCCTGAGTATTTGGTTTACAAATGTGAGCTATGGTGTCCAGCTTCACAGGGATTCTTGTAAGGTCCAAATAAAACATCACATGGAAAGTGCTTCAGTGCATATAATGATAACCATGGGGTGTTGGGCAGAGGTGCAGAAGATATAGAGGAGTGGCTTCCCTGCTGGCCAGACAGCTCCTGTGCCCAGTCGAGGCTGGGGAGGCTTCCCGGAAAGGAAGAAAGGAGGTCCCGGATGCTGGAGAATGGAGTAGTGGACTACAGAGATCCAGGGGGAAGATTAGAATAGACAGGCGTTGCTAGATGGCTTGAGAAGGACACTTCCTGCCCCGGGACCAAGAATGTGAGTCAGCTCAGACACCAGTGGGGCTGAAGAGGAGGAGGAATGGAGAGAAGGAACTAGAACAACCTCTTGCCCTGTAAGGCCTGGCAGAGCTTGCATGAACCCAGCACAGTGTCCCCAGGGAGCTGCCTGCCGGGAACCAGCCACGGATGGAGGGAGGCTCCCCCTGCCCACTTCCTGGGGGACCAGAGAGAATCAGAGCCTGCCTGGCAGAACAGTGGGGGAAAGGTAGCCTCCTGGTCCAGACCCAGAGACCGTCTAGGCTACACTCTAGAAAATGCAGCCGCCTTGGGCTCTGAGAGTTTTGGGGTGGGGCGACATTATTCAGGTCCTTTATATCCTGCAGTGGAGGAAGCAGATACCCAGGAAGAGCCCGAAGGGCCTGTGATCCTCAGACAGGAAGACAAAGAAGCATCTGAGAGGGGATGGGGCTGTCACGCTGCTTGGAAAAGAAAGCAGTACAGAGAACTAGTCATGGCTGCATTTGCACTATGTGTAGCCCTGGTGGAGACAGTGTAGCTGCTTTTGGGATGCAGGTGCCTGCATCGGCTCCCCCTTTCCAAGCACCCTACTCCACCTGGGCTCCCTGAGTCATCACTAGGGGTGAGTCTCAGATCCAGGCCCTCTTTCTCAGGTCCAGCAGGTGTAATCAGATAGTGAGGCGTGAGAGTCCTGAGCTCCTAGCTCATGCTTCCTCCCCAAGCCCCAAGAGAAGACAGAACTCTAGTGACAACACTGGAGGCCAGGCCCTGGTATGGCTCCATGCAGGAGGAGACGAAGGCTTCTCTGATGCCCAGTCCTGTGCTCATCACACTCTGTTCCCTCTGTACGCACACTGACCTGAGGGGGGAAGGGGGCCAGACTGGATAGAGGGGTGAAAGCTTGATGAATGAATGAATGAATACTAGAAAGCCCCTTGTGATGAAGAAGCCCAGTTACTGAGCAGTAGTACCAGGGAAGACTCAAAAAACAACTATGGTTCTTGCTCCCAAGAAGCTGATTTTCATGACCATATGTCTGTCAGCGTGGAGACAGGGATTCAGGGCTCACATTCTTTAAGCAGAGTTTCCCAAGGTGCTGTGCGGGATGCCAAGAGGCAAGACAAAGGAAGGGTCCCACATTGGGCCATAGAATCCTTGGAAGGCAGCCTGTGACTCCCCAAAGTGCCGTTGTGCTCAGCGGTTTGAGGGTTGATAGGAAATGGATTTCGAATATACTAGATCAGACAGGTCTCACTAGAGCTGCCCCTCAGGGCACAACCTGGCCCTGTCACTCCCTGTTTCTCCCTGCCTCAGTTTCCCTCTCTGACAAAAAACAGCAACCGTCTTGGCTCCTCCCAGCCTGTCGGGATGTCAGCACTGAGGACACAGTAGGAGAGCCTGAACAGATGCCAGGGGCCTTGGGGAGATGTAAATACAAGGAGCCATAGCGGTGACCCAGGCTTGGCGGGCAGTTGGAGGGCTAATAGTCCGAGGCTGCTAACGAGGGGGACCGATGACAGCCCCCCTAGGGCCCCGCGCTTCAGTGCCACATCAGCCATTCCTGGGAAGAGGCAGCTTGGCTTCCTGAATATGGCCAAGCACACCCCACATCCTGGGGAGGGGTAGAGAAGAAATGGAGACGCGAATGCCACCAGCACGCTTTGTGCAGGCTCAGAGGATCCAGCCCCCTCTCCAAATGCTCAGAGCCTGCAGTGCCATCGAGCAGAGGCCAGGGCAGAGGTGGGCGGGAGGGACCACTTGGACAAGTGACCGCTCAAGAGGCGCCTTCACTGAGGGCCGCACAGCAAGCAGAGAACAGCAACCAACATTTCTGGACAAGGTCTGAGCTCGACTCTGTGTAAGGGATCAGACCTCCGGTGGACAGGCCTTCTGCTTTGTTCCATATGGAAAAGTCACATGCTACCAAAGCCCAGTTTTACTTGTTCTACAATCCATCTACATGGTTATACTTGCTCTTGAGTAGTATAATTTAATTTCTATTTTTGATATAAACTTTTAACAAATGAATGTGAGGGGGGGGGGGGAAAGCTGCCGGTACACACAGACTGCCTGTTCTCTTTGCAGACCTTGTGGAACTACCTTGCCAAGTCCCACTGCTACCTCTCAGTCATCTGCGGACGCAGGTCTTGGGCAAGCATGGATCCCTCCCCCGAGGGCCGAGGCCGGGAGCGGCTTCCGGCCTGGGAAGGCCCCGGATGCCCAGCTGGAGGCATCGCTCAGGACGGTGGTACCTGAACAGCGTGGTGGAAGCATCCGTGTGGCCCAGGCCAGATGAAGACCTTCCACTCTCACGGGTGGCAGGCAGCAGTAAGGGGTCCCCCAGGGGGACAGCCCCGCCGAGGTCAGGGTCATCAAACAGCTTCAGGGCTGTGGGGAGGCAGGAGGCAGAATGGTCAGAGACGTCCCCTACACTACACAGAGACGTCCTCAGCATCTGGGACGCAGGGTGGAGATGCCAGGCCCAGCCTCCCCGCACACCTAGGGGAAGGAGCAAGAGAAACGAGGTGGGGGCAGAAGAGGGCGAGGATTCAGCAGCTCAGGGGCCTCACTCGGGTGCCTGGTCCTCTCTGAACTTCTGCTCTGGCAGGGAAGTGGCCTCTTAGCTCACTGTTCCAGGTCCCCCCAGGTTTCATGACGCAGGCTCACTGAGCTCCCTCACCGCAGCCTGTCTTCCAGTAAGGAGTGAGGGCCGCCCACCAGCCAGGGGATCTGACCCATAGGCTCAGAGTCTCGTCTCTCCCCCATTCTTGTACCTGAGCTGCTCTGGCCTGGCCGATGGGAGCACTAATCATCGCCTTTCCCTGGAAGGGCTTTCCCCGGCAGGCCTGGTCTCTAACTGGAATGCTTTATCCAGCGGGCCTGGCTACAGCTGGCTGACCACTCAGGCCCCCGACCAGGCTCAGCTCCACCCGACTCACTTCCACCCGGGCACAGTCCCTGTAGTTCCAGGGGAACCAGGGTTTCTGCTTGTTCTGCTTCAGACTTAGGCTGCTCTACATTGATCAGGTGATATCCCGTCTCTGTAGGGTCCCGAGGCCCTAAGGACAGGGACGTGGGCCCAGCTCTTGGTGGATGCTCACTAAGTACTATTGGCTGGATTACTGGGTTACATCAGAAGGTTGGACTAGGAAGGGGTGGAGAAACCCTAAAGCTACTTGGTGTTCCCTCCACCATCTCTGCTCTGAGCCCTTCACTGGAGTTAGTGCAGGTACCATGAAACCTCTTATTAAAGTTAAAATCATGCCTGGTGCTGGTGGCTCACACTTGAAATCCTAGCAACAAGGGTGGCCGTCAGGAGGCAGAGATCTGAGGCTTGTGGTTCAAAGCCAGCCCAGGTAGGAAACTCCATGAGAGTCTTAACCAATTAACTACCAAAAAGCTGGACGTCGAGCTGTGGCTCAAGTGGTAGAACACCAGTCTGGAGTTAAAAAAAAAAAAAAAATAAGGGACAGCACCCAAACCCTGAGTCCAAGCCCTAATGCCCGGATGGGACTCTCCTCTGGACCCTACTGGGGGCTCTAGCGCCTTCACAGGCTGAAGACAGCATTGCAGGCATTTCTCTAAGCAACAAAGAAAATCCTCCATGAGACATTTAGAATAACTACAGCCCCAGAATGTTTCAGGCTGTGGAGATGCTATGTCTCATGCCTGATTTCTCCAGCAGAAAACCTCCATGAGCCAAGTCTATATCTGGTGCAGACAGGACAAGATGAGATTGCATTCTGTCCACACTGACCCCGTGCCAGGGTCTAAAGCCTGCACGCAGGCCTGAGGGCAGATGCCAAGGGCCGTACTTACAGTCTCGAGGCAGGGGCTCTGAGGCACTCGAGGGGGGCAGCTTTTGGCTTGGACCAAAGAGCTCCCCGTCAGGATCCGCCTCCTCATCAAAGATGGTGAGCCGGGGTGCAGGCTTAGGCATCACAACCATGTCTGAGTGTTTCTTGGGCTTCCTGGAGCTGGAAATGAGATAAAACACAAAGTGGGGTCGTGTCATGAGTCCAGGAGCCTGCTCCTAGGTGCTGGGTCCAGCTGGGGCCTACTGGTCACTAATGGCTGAGACCAGCTGGAAGCGGCCATGGGAAGGCCTGAAGCAGCGCAGGCAGAGCAAGCTGACAGGTCCTCCTGCTCCAGGGAAATGAGAGGACCAGCAGAGGGGGCGTGAACTCGGGCCGGGAAGGAACTCTGCCATGATCTGGTGAGGTAGTGGGGGCAGCTGAGCACTGGGCATGAGGAGCAGCCAGCATTAAGGAGGGTGGAGAGAAGGAAGCAGCTTCTGGTCAGACAGCTCCTCGAGCAGAAGGCCCGCTCAGGCCTCGGACATCCCATGTGCACAGGGCACAGAACAAAACCACTGAGTGGAGGCATCCACTCAGCGGCCCTGGTCAGCCCCTCAGTCAGGAAGCCCCACACGCTCAGCACACTGCCATCTCCAGGCCCTGTTATGTCGGTTTGCCAGCTGGGGCCAGTCTGTGGAGGGAGACTAAGAGAAGACCCCAGAAAAGGTTCTAGAGCAGGCTCAGGCTTTGTTCCCCTGACTGGATGCTTGGGATCTGTGTCTGGCGCTCTAGTGATGGCTCTGGATGAACGAGCTTGGGTTCTCTTTGACAAGTTGACCCAGTGCCCGTGGCAGCCGCCTCCACTCACAGTTTGAAGGTTCCCGCACATGGTGAGGACAGGCTTGTTACTGGAAACGGGATTGTATGTGCCTGTCTGCCTGCCAGGCAGCCCCACTGGGCTGAGGCCACATCTGACTTCCTGCTGGAAATATTGTGGCAAGCTCACAGAAAGCCTGGCTGTCCCAAACAGAGACACCAGTGGCAGATAAAAATAGCAGGCCTGGGCTGAGAAGGTGGCTCAGTGGTAGATCGCTTGCCTTGCATGCATGAGGCCCTGGGTTCGATTCCTCAGTACCACATAAGCAAAAAGAAAAAAGCCAGAAGTGACGCTGTGGCTCGAGTGGTAGAGTGCTAGCCTTGAGCTGAAGAGCTGAGGGACTTCGCCCAGGCCCAGAGTTCAGGCCCCACAACTGGACCTCCCCTCCACCCGCAAAAAAAAAAAAAAAAATAGCAGGCCTCTGGGTACTTGGCATAGGGCACTGAAGACAGCCATTTCCACAGTCGGGAAGCATACATCTAGGAGAATCCCAGCCCAGCCTGCAGCTCCTGTGGAGACGGAGCAGGGAGAAATATGCCAGGAAGGTGGCAGGAAGGGCAGCCCTTGGTGCCCAGGCCCAGAGTCCTAGTGAAGACTTTGGTTGGGCCTGGCCTGTTCACTATATGCTTGAGTGACTGCTGGAGGCCATACTGAAGGCTGAAGCATGCTGGGACTCAGGGTGGTCACTGCTCATGGTCCTAGGCTCCTGTCCTTCCCTCCCAATGTCACAGGACAGAGGAGGGGGGAGTGTCACAGGATTGACCCTGCTGTCCTCTGCAGAGACGGGCTGTACAGCCGGAGTCGCAGGGTCTGTATTGGAAAGTTCCACTCCAGCCCGTGCTCTTTCTCCCTCAGGCCCAGGTGCCAGGTCTGCTCTCCTGTGCTTAGGTCCTGGCTATGGGGAAGCCCTGCAGCAAGCACTTTTGAGAAGCTTCATCCCCAGCTCCTCTCACATGGTGCAGTGTGGGCTCAGCTGCCCTTACTAGGCCAACATGCAGAACTAGCACTGCTTTCCTGACCCCAGGGAAGTGGGTGCCGACAGAGTCGATGGCCCTGGTGGAGCTGCCCAGAGCCCCAGGCCAGAAACTTCATGTGTCCCCTGGAGGCTTGTGCTCCAGCCCCCTGTGCAATGGGACCAGCTCTCTGGGCCCCGGGACCAGGCTTCCAGCTTGTGGGCTCTGTTCTGCCACCAGCCTGTGCCTTCCTCACCCACCACAGCCACACATGGCTCTGTGTTCAACAGGGACTGCATGCTGCAGAATGGGTAACCCACCCACGCCTGCACCCACGCCTGGCTGAGGAGGGATCTTCAGGAGGCTGTGCTGTGACCCCGCTGCATGTTCTTCATTGCTCCACCAGCAGCCCCTTCCCACTCCCCGGGACCAAACTCACACCCTACCCAATCAATGTCCTGTGGGGCGCGGGGGAAAGAAGACGTGTGTGAGTGTGTGTGTGTGTGTGTGTGTGTGTGTGTGTGTTGGTGGGGGGGGCGCAGTGGGGGGTTGAGGGTGATTGAAGAATAAATGCAAGGGCTGGGAATATGGCTTAGTGGTAGAGTGCTTGCCTAACATGCATAAAGCCCTGGGTTCGATTCCTCCCTACCACATAAACAGAAAAAGCTGGAAGTGGCGCTGTGGCTCTAGTGGTAGAGTGCTAACTTTGAGCAAAAAGAAGCTCAGGAACAGTGAGTGCCCAGGCCGTGAGTTCAAGCCCCAGGACTGGCAATGGATAAATAAATAAATGCAAGAGGTACAGAATTTAACTGTCTGACCTTTTCCCACCTAATTCTAACCTTGACAGCACAAATGAGGCCAGGCTATCCTGGCTGAGCATCCCTACAAACTAGACTCACACCTGTGTTCTTCCCATGACATCCGTGACCTTTCCTTCAACTGAAATAATAACATGTACTTCTGTAGAGGTGTTCAGTCTGCCCTCCACCCATACATCCGCCCTGCCCTCCAAGACGCCCCCAGACACGTCCCAAGGGGGGGCAAAGGATATCAGGTAATGGAGAGTTTGGATAACTAAAAGCCCAAGGTCCAAGGTCCGACTCACCCTAAAACTTCAGGCTCTTGAGTCATAGCAGTGGGACAGGCCCACGAAGACGCTCAGTGAACACTGGCTTAAGGATGACACAATGAAGGAAGAGAAGGTGGAAAGGAAAAAAAAGTGGACAGATGGAAAGAAGGAAGGAAGGAAGGAAGGAAGGAAGAGACAAGCAGATAGTATGACAGCACATCTCTTACTTATTCTTACTTATTTACTTAGTCTAGTGGGGAGCAAGATGGGGTCCTCGATCAGTCACAGGGCCTATACTGGGCAAGTCCTCCAATCCCTGGTCCCCACCTGCCCCTCGCAGCCATCTGGAGGACATCTTGTCCACTCTCAAGGGTGCCCCTGCCACCATCCACCCATCCAGAGGCTCAGGGCCCAGCAGTCACACCCATCTACCAATCATCCACACAGAATGTTCCCATTGTCACAGCTTGGAGCTCAGAGGGAAAAGCCAGCTCAGCTAGAGGCGAGGATGGCTTCCTAGAGGAGATAGTATGGAGGTAGGGGATGAGGGGTAGAGTGTCTAGACTTAACTGCAGACAGCTGTCCACACATACACAACCCATTCTGTGTAACAGGAGACAAAGCCCTTTGCTGATGCGCCCTGTCACCAGGGACGGGGAACAGGTCTGAAGTGAAAGAACCTGCAGCTCCTGACTTCCGGGGAACTTGAACTTGTCCTCCACCCGGAAGAGCGGTCTGGCCCAGAACAGGTTACACGAGGTAGGCAGGGGCTCCCGGGTAGGCGCAGGCATGTGTAAGCATGTTCACGCCGGTACACAGACTGTCGCTGCCCCGCTGTGGGCTTGACAGGAGACAGATGCGCAGACCTGGCCACGTCGGCAGGCGGGCCTGCAGCACACAGCGAGAGACGGCAGCTGCCATGGTTGACAGCTCCAAAGCTTTGACTGGCCAAGAAAAGCAGCCTGCTTCCCGTGGCTCAGGCACTTCTGGTGACACTGACTGACACGAGAGCAGTCTCCTCCCGGGCCACCCAGAGTCCTTGTGGAGCCATTCCAGGCTCACCTGCTCCCAGGGCAGACAGGAGATGGGGCCGGCCACCCAGGATCAAAGCGCACAGGAGCTGTAGAGGCAGCTAGCCTGGCTAGGTCCAGTCAGGTTCAAAGCCAGGTGACGCTTCACCAGATATAAAAGCCAATTCCCTTTACAACAATGTAACTTTCATGCTATAAAATGCAGCACTTTTTATATTTGGGGCTTTTCCAATTGGACAATGTTCTCAGGCTGCCAATCAATGACCTGAAGTGACCTGAACTTCACAGAAGGGCAGTGTCTGCAGTGGCACGGGCGTCAGCAGTCAAGGAGCCCAGCCAAGGGTCAGGGCAGCTTCCCGGGACAGTCTGGGGCTTCAGAGGAGGACTGGACGGAAGGATGGACGGAGTGGGAAAGCTGTGCTCAGCAGAGGCTGGGCGTGTGCACATGTCAGCAGGTGGAACGTGGCACAGAAGTGTGCTACAGCTGCACAGGGGGCACAGAAGGGCGTGATGGGTCTGAAGCGAATCTTGGGGGACCTGGGGGGTGGGTTCTGGCCATTGCTGCGGGAAAAGCAGCCAAGGGGAGGCAGAACTCCTGCATGACCTAGCCCACAGCTGGGCAAGTTCCTCAAATGTTTTCTTTCCTATTTTGGGCTGGTACTTGGGCTTGCACTCAGGGATTTTTGCTCTTGCTTGGCTTTTTGTTTAAGGCTGGTGCTCTACCCCTTGAGCCACACCTCCACTTCTGGCTTTTTGCAGGTTAATTGGAGATTTAAAAAAAATCTCAAGGGGAGTTTATCTGCCTGTGCTAGCTTTGAACTGGAATCTTCAGATCTCAGTCTCCCGAGTGGCTAGGTTTACAAGCATGAGCCACTGGCAACTGGTTCAAGTGTTTCCTTATCTGTAGGCAGGAACAAGGAGGCAATACAGAATGGCTTTGGAGCGGAGCACAGGGACTGCAGGGGGAGGCCAGCAACACGATCCCAGGCTCACATTTCCAACCCAGCACACTTTGGAAATAGTCCCCAGTCATTCTCTGAACAGCACAGCCTGACTCTCAGGCCTCCTCAAGCCCAACTGAAGACCTCAGCAACTCCTACCCCTCCTTGGATTGTGGGTCAAGCCACCCCATTTTACTGCATTTCTCTGCATAGTGGGGGGGGCACTGCCTGGGACCTACCATGTTCCGACCTCAAGTCACGAGGTGTTGGATGCAGGGGCTTCTAACCTCTGCCCAAGGGGAATGCCCA